TGCTGGCACAGCTAGTTACATGGGTGTTTCCTTCTATTTCAACACCTATCTTATTAATGTGGTTTATTTCCTAGTAACCAGGAGTGACAACATTGACACACTTTGGTACAATGTGATGACAGACTAAACAACTACCATCTTGTTAATGTAACTGCCCCTCCACCCAGCACAGATGGTATTAGAGCTGTTGGGTAACTGGCATTTCTGTTCAATTAAAAATGTTCAGATTTGAAAGTTTTATTTTTGTTCTAAATCTGAATGGGGGGGACTGAAATTGTCTGAAGTGGAATTTTGGGTTGATCAGAACATTCTGTTGAGAGAAAATCAAAACATCTTTATTAAAAAAATAAAATTTCAAAATGAAAAAGTTGTTTTGAAAAGATCAATAGAAATGTTCTGTTCCAATAATAGACTTTTCATTCGGAAGCTCTAGCAAGATGTTCCTTTTCAATTTGGGTGTATCTTCCCCTCCCCCCTCCTGTCCCCATTAGTGATTGTAATCTTGATGAGAGAGCTTCTGTGGGAGACATGCCCCAACCCCTTTTTCACTGTCATCACATTATGTGGATTCCTCTTTGTTCACATCACAGCATGCCAGGATGGGAGAGTTGAGCACCAGTTCTTTGTGTGTGATGACTGCATCATTTTAAGGCAACCAGGTCCATATTGAATCTTTGTCCAATATTTACCTCTGTCATTTCAGCTCTTGGGTGGTCAGTCAGTGTCCCCTGTATCATCCTGCAGTCAATCACAATTACAACTTGTTTTTAATTCACTTTCAGATTTACTTCCTTGGCTCTTTCTAGCAGAGAGATGAGGTTGAGGTCCTTATCGGCCATAGTTTCTGCAATGCTGTGTCTGCATCCACGTGCTAGAATGTCATCAGCTGTGAGTGACACTTATCCCTGCAAGCCCTGTTAATATGGCTTGCTGGCAGCATTGATAGTCTTTCACTACAGGTTTGATCCCAAACAGCATTCTCAGCCCTCTGTATCTACCCACTGATGTCCAAAATGTGGTGAGGTAGCTGCTTTCCTTACCTAGTAACACTTGCCAATATCAGTCTTTGGCAAATACTGAGGTTATTTTGAGCTTTACAATGTCAAGTAGCACTTCTTCTGTTGTAAGCATTTAGTACAGAGCTGCTTTTAGTCCTTTGTTTAAACTATTTGAATCTGTTTATCCAACTTGGGGGCTTTATGACTTTAACAGTGTTGCCTGCCTTTTAAGTTTTGTTTTATTGCTCCTATTCTTTTTTCTTTTTATGTTAATCTGTACTCCGGGAGGCAGATAGTGGCTGAATTGTTTTATTTGTTTCTTGGTCTGACGTGCCTTGATGACATCCCAGACCCAGTCCTTCAAAACCAGCTTGATAATCTTTTGGCAGCTTTGCTGCAGGGTTGCCGTGGTTCACTGTCTGCTCTGGGTATGTTTTTTGCCTGTGTCTGTTGTATGAATCTTTTGTCCCAGGTTTCAGCCTTCAATTGTTTTCGCTCAAAGCAGTAGTTTCTGTGTTTGTGCTACCAGAAATTTCTGCCTGATAGGGTGACCAGACATCAAGTGTGAAAAATTGGGATGGGGGTGGGCGGTAATAGGTGTTGATATAAGACAAATCCCAGAATATCAGGTTGGAAGGGACCTAAGGAGATCATCTAGTCCAACACCCTGCTCAAAGCAGGACCAATCCCCAGATCCCTAAATGGCCCCCTTAAGGATTGACCTCACAACCCTGGGTTTAGCAGGCCAATACTCAAACCACTGAGCTATCCCTCCCCCCCAAATATTGGGACTGTCCCTATAAAATCGGGATGTCTGGTCACTCTACTGCCTAGGTTACCATATTTCAACACTGAAAAAAGAGGACACTCCTTGGGGGTCCCGGCCCTGCCCCAACTCCACCCCTTCCCCGTCCCCATTCCAAGCCCTTCCCAAAAGTCCCTGCCCCAACTCTGGCCCCTCCTCTGAGCACCCTGCTTTCCCCCTCCTCCCTCCCGCGCTGATCTTGGTTGGGGGTTGCTAAGTGCTTCCCTGCTCTCCACTTGCTCTGCAGCCCCTTCACCCCCCCCCATCCCTGCAGCCTCTGTGACCCCCTGCTCCCCACTCGCCCTGCAGTCCCTGCACCCCCCCGCTCCTGCAGACTGTGACCCCTGCTCCCCACTCGCCCTGCACCCCCCCCACCCCCCCGCTCCTGCAGACTGTGACCCCTGCTCCCCA